TGATATAGTGGCTTACAGCTGTAGTCCCAGTTACTTGGGAGGTTGTGGTGGAAGAATCATTTGAGAATCAAGGGCAAAATCAGAAGGCTAACACAGGGTTTCAAGATGTATTATAAAGCTACAGTAATCATGACACTACCATAGACTTTATAAATACTGTACATTAGGCTTTCCTAATTTTTTTTTCTTTTTTTTTTTTTGAGATGGAGTTTCACTCGTGTTTCACTTCACCAGGCTGAAGTGCAATGGTACGATCTCAGCTCACCATAACCTCCGCCTCCCAGGTTGAAGTGATTCTCCTGCCTCAGGCTCCTAAGTAGCTGGGATTAAGGGCATGCACCACCAAGCCCGGCTAATTTTTTGTATTTTTAATAGAGATGGGGTTTCCGCATGTTGGTCAGGCTGGTCTCGAACTCCTGACTTCAGGTGATTTGCCTGCCAGGCTGCCCAAAGTGTTGGGATTATAGGCATAAGCCGCCACACCTGGCCAGGCTACCTTAAATGTATACATTTTCTTTTCTTCTTAGCTTCCTATAACTTTTTTATTGTATAACTTTTTTTTTTTTTGAGACAGAGTCTTGCTCTGCCAGTCACCCAGGTACAATCTTGGCTCATGGCAACATCCATCTCCCAGGTTCAGGCAATTCTCTTGCTGCAGCCTCCCAAGTAGCTGGGGTTACAGGTGCCCACCACCATGCCTGGCTAAATCTTTTTGTAGAGATGAGGTTTCACCATGTTGGTCAGGCTGGTCTCAAACTCTGGACCTCAGGTCATCCACCCACCAAGGCCACCCAAAGTGCTGGGATTACAAGCGTAAGCCACCTCGCCTGGCTTACTTTATAACTTAGAAATGTTTAAAACTTTTTGACTCTTTTGTAATAACAATTAATGCACAAACACATTTACAGCTGGACAAAAATATTTTCTTTCTTTATATCCTTATTCAATCAGCTGTTTTCTATTAATTTTTTTTAAACTTATTTTGTTAAAAACTAAGACACATTCCCCTCCAAACCTGTTTCTGGATGGTTGGGGAGGTGTTGGGGGTGGGGGTGGGAAGAAGACACACACATAATAGCCTAGGTCTACACAGAGTCAGGATCATCAAGATGTCACTAGGCAATAGAATTTTTTTAGCTCCATTATAATCTTATGCAACAACCATACAATTAATATATGGAATCTGTTATGCAGTAAGTGACAATATATAGAAAGAGAGATCCAGTGATGGCCTGCATGGTTTGGTCTTATTCAACTTTTTTTTTTTTTTTTTTTTTGAGGCAGAGTCTCGTTCTGTTACCAGACTGGAGTGCAGTGGTATAATCTTGGCTCACTGCAACCTCCGCCTCCTGGGTTCAAGCAATTCTCCTGCCTCAACCTCCCGAGTAGCTGGGACTACAGGTGCATACCACCATGCCAAGCTAATTTTTGTATTTTTAGTAGAGACGGGGTTTCACTATGTTTGCCAGGTTGGTCTCAATCTCTTGACCTTGTGATCCACCCGCCTTAGCTTACCAAAGTGCTAGGATTACAAGCATGAGCCACCACACCCGGCCTTGTTCAACATTTTTATAAATGCCTTGTATGAGGACACAAATGTACATATTTATCAAACCTGCAGTGACACAAAGCTGACAGGGATACTTAATAACGATGGATGACGGAATCAGGATCCAAAAGGTCTTGACAGGCTGCAACTCTGTCGAATCTAACAAGATGAAATTTAACAATGACAAAGGTAAGTCTGACACTTAAGTCCAGAAAATCAATACAAGGCCCTGACTTGATGACAATTCAGGTAGAAAACAGGATTTTTCAACTGACTGAAATCATAGCAAGAGTAAAAAACAAGGAAGTCAGAAAGAAGAGAGGTTAACTATACAAATACTATTTCTTTTCAGGTCAACATAAACTTTTGGATAGACTTGCAAAACACAACAGGCCACTTCAGGAGCTAAGTGTACATTACTGGAAGTCTTCAAGCCAAGTTTGATAACAACTCCGGATGTTGAAGAGGGAGTACTGGAATCTCATATAAGGTTTAATGGAAGAAATGACCCCAAATAGTGCCAGATTCCATAATTTATTTACATATTGGTAGATGTAATTACAACTTATGAGGTAAAAATAATTTCATTCCAATTGATTTAGTAGACTCACTAGTTAAGTCTCTGAAAGATCTACTGAATGAGGAGTTCCTATTTAGGCTTCTTTCCTCCTTTTCTTCTATTAGTTCAAAGACTTTTTTTTTTTTTTAAAGAGTGATGATAGTACTTTCTCACTTCTCATTACTAAATTAAAAACTATTTATTTATTTATTGAGATGGAGTCTTAATCTGTTACCCAGGCTGGAGTGCAGTGGCGCAATCTCGGCTCACTGCAACTTCTGCCTCCAGGGTTCAAGTGATTCTCCAGCCTCAGCCTCCTGAGTAGCTGGAATTACAGGCATGCACCACTACATCCAGCTAATTTTTTATTTTTAGTGGAGACCGGGTCTCGCTATGTTGGCCAGGCCAGTCTCCAACTCCTAACTTCAAGTGATCCACCTGCCTTGGCCTCCCAAAGTGCTAGGATTACAGGCATTAGCCACCACACCTGGCCTTAAAAACTATTTTAAATTTGTTATTATGGAAGTAATATATGCTCCTTGTAAATTAAATTAAACCTTTTTGATGAATATAAAATGAAAAGTAAAGGCTCCTCTCTTGCTTTCCCCCCAAATATATCCCCCAAACTTTCTTGGACTTTGAAAGCTTCTGAAGGCCCTCCTTTGCTGAATCCCTTGTAGACTTACAGTCTGTATACCACAGGAGTTTTTATAATATGCCACATTTGCCTACCAACAAGAACAGAAGCTCCGTACAGGCAAGATTTGTCTTTTACAAATCATATAACTCATGTACCAAATACACACTGTAGAAATAAAACATTTAACTTTTTGATACTTCTGAAACAAGAAATAACAGTATTATTCAGATGTTAAGTCTTATTTTCACTTCATATTTACAATGGACATTGGTTTTGCCAATCCTGCATTTACCTCCTCTGACCTATCCACCCTAGTCATCATTGGCTATGGTCATCCATTCAATTGTACTGAAAGGTGATTAAGATCTCTAAATCAATCAGAGCTTCACAATGCCACAGGCATGGTTTAGGGTTGGTCACATTATCCAATCTAGACCAAAGAAGCGCAATCAACTTGAAGCTGAGAGAATATAAAGGACCCTGGATACTTGCAGCCATCTTGGGACCAAAGAAGAGAGCCTATCCAAGTACGGAGCCAACAATCAAAAAGCAGGCATGAGAGACTGAGAGAAATGGGACCCTAGTGACATCATTTAGCACTCTCCTTAAGTATTATCATCCCATTTTTGATCTCAGAACTGTATGACTTAATGATGGGCCACAGTGGCTCTTGCCTGTAATCCCAACACTTTGGGAGGCTAAGGTCGGCGGATCACTTGAGGTCAGGAATTGGAGACCAGCCTGACGAACACGGTGAAACCTTGTCTCTAATAAAACACAAAAATTAGCAGGGCATGGTGGTGGGTGCCTGTAGTCCTAGATACCCTGGAGGCTGAGGCAGGAGAATCGTTTGAATCAGGGAGGCAGAGGTTGCAATGAGTCAAGACTGCATCACTGCTTTCCAGCCTGGCCAACAGAGTAAGACTCTGTCTAAAAAAGAGAAAAAAAATAACTGTCTGACTTCAAAGACTTTTTCCTTCACCAAGCATACTACTCTAACTCCATAAGTCTGTCTGTACATTTGAGGAACTCTTCTTATCAGGCCTGAAAGAGTAGATGGAAAGGAGAAGAGAAAGAAAGGGATTATTTGAATTAAAGATATATAAAAATGTATATATATATATATATATATATATACACACTAGCAGACACTGAGCTACATATAGACATGCAAATAGTGATATCATGAAATATTTTATGAAAAAGAGGCAGATGTTTGGACGTGCAAAGACTGTTGGAAAAAAAGCTTTACCAGAAAGGGGCATCTGGGGTGACCCCTTATTATTTGTCAACTGTAAATCTCTTCTGCCCCTCTCTCTTGTTCATTAGGCGTAATAGCCACCTTTCAGTTCTTTAAAAAGTAAGTTTCAGCCTCAAAGCATTATGCCACTATCCGGATGCTCTTTCTCCAAATCCTCTCATGACTGTTCCTTTCTCTTTCAATCTCTGTTTAAATTCCACCTCTTCAGAGATGGCTTTCCAGTCCAATCAATCCCTTAAGGGGACCCTTCCCTCCTTCCATCACAACAGCTTATTTCTTTCAAAGCTGTTATCACCAGCTGTATTTACTTAATTTGTAGTTTATCGACTGTTTCCATCACTCGAATGTAAGCTCCCTGAAAGCGAGGATTTTGTCTTGAACATCTCTTTTTCTTTTTTTCCTTTTGCTTTTTTTTGTTGAACATCTCTTTTTCTTTATACCCAATGTCTCGCACAGAAAGATAGGAACTAAATAAATATTTATTGAAAGAGAGAATGAGTGGCAAAATAATAAGATAGCCTGGGAGACCAGCCGGCATTGTAGGGAGGGTGTTCCTAGGGAAGCCGCAAAAAAGGAAGTAGGAAAAGTCAGCTGGGCTGAACACCGAATAGGAAGCCGAAGGTTTACATTGGCTGGAATCAAGGTGTCGGACAGGGGCTTCAGGGTTCCCCTGTCCACGCGTGAGGTTGGCAGAGGGGCATAAACCACTGAGTGACCAACTGTGGGCGTTCCCTTCAGGGAAACCGAATGGGACAATTGTCTTCAAACCCCGCTATGTCCGGTGCCGCGGACTTTACGCGGCTGTCTTCCCCGAAATCGCTAACCTACGGTCACCAGACTTACCGCCCGGGCCCGAGTCTCTCGGGACTCGGAAGCGTACTTGAGAAACGGACAGAGTCCGCCGGTCCCAAATGAGGTCCGAAATCAGCCCGCTGACTCGTGTTTCCCCGTTCCCAGCCCGCCCGTGGGCCCGAACCGTATCCTTACTTACGCTTGTCTCCGGGCTATGAGCCGATGCATGGGAGTCGCCATTTTAGCGTGGTCAAAGACTGCCGCGCAGGGTTTTGGGAACTCCTCGGAAGGGCGGGGCTTCCAACCTGGAGGCCATAGACGTGGGCGGAGCCAGACAGGCCTCAGGGGTTCTGGGCAGCCTCCGCGGTAGGATCTTAGTGCTGCCTGGTGGGCCGGGATGTCGGGAGGGGAGGGGCTGGAGGGTCGGCAGGGAGGGAGGCCTGGAGGGTCGGCAGGGAGGGGAGCCTGGAGGGTCGGCAGGGAGGGAGGCCTGGAGGGTCGGCAGGGAGGGGAGCCTGGAGGGTCGGTAGGGAGGGGGCCTGGCTGGTCGGGAGGGACCCCTGGAGACCAGTGTGGGTCTCGGATTGTCGGGCCGAACAGGGTTTCAAAGGATGATTACAGCACTAAAGTTATCTGTGAAAAATGAGGACAACATTCTCCAGCGAGGGATACACATACAAAGACGAAGAATGAAACTGCGGTGTTCAGAAAACTAGAGATAGTCTGGAGAATAGAAAGGAATTAGTTGACCAGGATTGAGACCAAAGAATGACTTTAGCAAGCCATAGAGTGCAAACATACATTAATTCTGTTTTTTAAATGTATTTCTCAGGGTGGTTATAAATACTAAATTGGACTGTATAACTAAAGCTGCTTTGTCAAGTAGAAAAGGACTATACAAGTATTTTAGAATATTTTAGCTGCACCTACATCTAATGTCAGCTCATGGAGCTATTCTATTGAACCCGTAGTCTCTGAAATATATATAACTTTCTGAAATGTGTGTCTGTGTGAGTGTTTCTGAGCCATCCATATTTTTTCTTTTCTTTTCTTTTCTTTTTTTTTTTTTCGAGACGGAGTTTCGCTCTGGTTGCCTAGGCTGGAGTGCAGTGGAGCGATCTCGGCTCATTGCAACGTCTGCCTCCGAGGTTCAGGTGATTCTCCTGCCTCAGCCTCCCAAGTAGCTGGGACTACAGGCGCCCGCCACCACACCCAGCTAATTTTTGTATTTTTTATAGAGACAGAGTCTCAATCTCTTGACCCCGTGATCTGCCCGCGTCGGCCTCACATAGTGCTGAGATTACAGACGTGCGCCACTGCCCCTGGCCCATAATTTTTCAATCAATAATTAACACAAGCTGGGCGCGGTGGCTCTCGCCTGTAATCCCAGCACTTTGGGAAGCCGAGGCGGGTGGATCACCTGAGGTCGGGAGTTCAAGACCAGCCTGGCCAACATGGAGAAACCCCATCTCTACTAAAAATACAAAATTAGCCGGGTGTGGTGGAGCATTCCTGTAATCCCAGCTACTCGGGAGGCAGAGGCAGGAAAATAGCTTGAACCCGGGAGGCGGAGGTTGTGGTGAGCTGAGATGGTGCCATTGCACTCCAACTTGGGCAACAAGAGTGAAACTCCGTCTCAAAAAAAAAAATTAACACTTAAAATGTTTCAGGAGCTGAGGATAGAGCCTTTAAACAAATAAAATCCATGTACATATGGAACTTTCTGCAGACAATGCATGAAGACTATTCCAACGGGCCTAAGTACTCTAATGAAAAATATTTCGGGGTAAGGGATTAAAGAGTGATTAGGGGTTAGGGAAGGTGATGATGTGACCTTTGAACACAACTTGTTCTTCAAAAAAGTGAGCTCTTCTTACATGTTGTGTTCTCCAGCTTACTTTTTCCATTCCTCAATGTATTTATGACAATCTTTTCCCATGTCTGCACATACAAATCTAATTCATTCTTTTTTTCTATTATGTTATGGATTACATGAATATTCCCCAATTTATCCAGCCAGCACCCTATTGCTGAACAGTTAGATCATTTACCACCACAACAGAAAAGAGTAGATTTTTAAACAACCCCCCAGTGTTGTGGTAAGATGATGTCCTAGTAGAATTGCTGGATCAAAGAATATGCACACTTTTTTTTTTTTTTTTTTTTTTGAGGCAGAGTCCCTATTGCCCAGGCTGGAGTGCAGTGGCTCACTGCAACCTCGGCCTCCTGGGTTCAGGTGATTCTCTTGCCTCAGTCTCCTGAATAGCTGGAATTACAAGCACCCACCACCACGCCCAGCTAATTTTTTGTATTTTTAGTAAAGATGGGATTTGTACATGTTGGCCAGGCTGGTCTCTAACTCCTGACCTCAAGTGATCCACCCACCTCAGCCTCCCAAAGTGCTGGGATTACAGGTGTGAGCCACTGCACCCAACTGACATGCACGCTTTGATTTTGATAGATATTCCTGTTGCTCCTTAAATAAACTGTACCTAACCTGCCTTGTCACCAGAATGCTCAAACTTTTAGACTATTGCCTATCTACCAAGCCAATATAATGTATTACTGATGAGGTCAGATACCTTTTGTATGATCATTGTTTTTCTTCTTTTTTTTTTTTTTGAGACGGAGTTTTGCTCTTGTTACCCAGGCTGGAGTGCAATGGCGCGATCTCGGCTCACCGCAACCTCCGCCTCCTGGGTTCAGGCAATTCTCCTGCCTCAGCCTCCTGAGTAGCTGGGATTACAGGCACACGCCACCATGCCCAGCTAATTTTTTGTATTTTTAGTAGAGATGGGGTTTCACCATGTTGACCAAGATGGTCTCGATCTCTTGACCTCGTGATCCACCCGCCTTGGCCTCCCAAAGTGCTGGGATTACAGGCTTGAGCCACCGTGCCCGGCCCTGTTTTTCTTCTTTTTCTTTTCTTTCTTTCTTTCTTTCTTTTTTTTTTTTTGAGACAGAGTCTCAATCTGTGGCCCAGGCTGGAGTGCAGTGGTAAGATCTTGGTTCATTGCAACATCCGCCTTCCTGGGTTCAAGTGATTCTCCTGCCTCAGCCTCCTGAGTAGCTGAGATTACAGGCAGCCGTCACCATGCCTGGCTAATTTTTGTATTTTTAGTAGAGACAGGGTTTCACCATGTTGGCCAATCTGGTCTCAGACTCCTGACCTCAAGTGATCCACCCTCCTTGGCTTCCCAAAGTGCTGGGATTATAGGTGTGAGCAACCTGGCCCAGCCACTGATTGTTGTTAAAGTAAATTTGGTCTGGGGGTGCCTCTGTTGAGTCGCTACTTGAGGAACTACAACCTAGCTTGATATGTAAACAAATTGCAAGCCTATATTAGGGATATGCTTTTATAACAGGTAGCTGAGTTTCAGCCAGTTACAAGCAGCCAACTGCTCAGACTGTGCACAAATAAGCCAAATACACAGCTGTAACCAATCAATCTGTTTTTTGTATCTCACTTTCCTTTTCTGACTATACAAACTGCCTACCTATATTTAAAGTATTCTCTGAACCTCTACTGGTTCTGAGGGTGTCCCACATTGTAAATTGTTCTTTGCTCAATTAAACTGTTAAATTTGTTTAAAAATTTTCTATTAGTATTCTATTGATAGACTATACTTTTTTTTTGAGACAGAGTCTTACTCTGTCACCCGGCTGGAGTGCGGTAGTGCAATCTCAGCTCACTGCAACCTCCGCCTCCTGGGTTTAAGTGATTGTCCTGCCTCAGCCTCCTGAGTAGCTGGGATTACAGGCGTGCACCACCACACTCCGCTAATTTTTGTGTTTTTAGTAGAGACTGAGTTTCACCATGTTGATCAGGATGGTCTCAATCTCTTGACTTTGTGATCTGGCCACCTTGGCCTTCCAAACTGCTGAGATTACAGGCGTGAGCCACCATGCCTGGCCCTAAAGTATACCTCTTCAAGAGTTGTCTCTTCAGGCCCGGCTTTGTGGCTCAAGCCTGCAATCCCTGCTACTACTTCATCTTCCAACTTCATCCTTGCCAGGAGCTGGGACTACATTTGTGTGCCACCATGCCTGGCTAATTTTTAAAACAATATTTTGTGGAAGTGGGGCCAGGTGCAGTGGCTCGCGCCTGTAATCCCAGCACTTTGGGACACCAAGGTGGGTGGATCACTTGAGGTCAGGAGTTTAAAACCAGCCTGGCCAACATGGGGAAACCCCTAAATACAAAAATTTGCCACATGTGTTGGCAGGTGCCTATATGCTCAGCTACTCAGGAGGCTGAGGCAGGGAGAATTCCTTGAACCTGGGAGGAATAGGTTGCAATGAGCTGAGATCTTACCACTGCAATCCAGCCTGGGCAACAGAGCAAGACTCTCACCTTCACCTCTTAATGTACTGAGATTACAGGCTTGAGCCACTGAGGCTGATCTATATAGTCAGGTTTAACAATCTTTCTCTTTGTAGTTTTCTATATTTGGCTCACACTTAGAATAGCCTTTTATGTCCCAAAATTATTAAAATATTTTATTTATTTATTTTTTTGAGGCAGAGTTTTGCTCTTGTTGCCCAAGCTGGAGTGCAATGGTGTAATCTCAGCTCACTGCAACCTCCGACTCCCGGGTTCAAGTGATTCTCCTGCCTCAGCCCCCCAGGTAGATGGGATTACAGATAAGCGCCACTGCACCTGGCTAATTTTTGTATTTTTGGCAGAAACGGGGTTTCTACATGTTGGTCAGCCTGGTCTTGAACTCCCGACCTCAGGCGATCTGCCTGCCTCAGGCTCCCAAAATGCTGAGATTACAGATGTAAGCCACTGCTCCCGGCCATTTTATTGTATTTCTTTCTTTTTTTTTTTTTTTGAGATAGAGTCTCACTCTGTCACCAGGCTGTTGTGCAGTGGTGCAATCTTGGCTCACTGCCACCTCCTCCATCTCCTGGATTCAAGCCATTCTTGTGCCTCAGCCTTCCGAGTAGCTGGGATTACAGGCACACGCCACCATGCCCAGCTAATTTTTGTATTTTTAGTAGAGACGGGGTTTCACCATGTTGACCAGGATGGTCTTGATGTCTTGACCTTGTGATCCACCCGCCTCAGCCTCCCAAAGTGCTGGGATTACAGGCGTGAGCCACCATGCCCGGCCCCCTTGTATTTCTTTAATTACAATAACACTTTTGTATCTATGGTTATATCCTGAGTCCTAATTTTTATTTTATTGAAACAATTTATTAAGCATCATTTTTCTGTTGACTTGAAATGCTACTCTGATATACTAATTATGTACCAATTTAGTAAGTTTGGACATTATTTTCTTCCAGCGATGTAC